TGGGTATTCTCTACTGCTGCTGGCACCAGAATTTCAAGCCCTGCCTGGTACTCAGGAGCATGATGTTAATTTGACTTGCTCAGATCTGGGAGCCTCTGAGGCCTGAAACAAATATTTGTTCTTCTGTATCTCAGATCTGATTTTTGTAGGGCAATAATGTTGACTAGTGACAGTGAATTAGGTGGGGAAAATGTTGCCTCTGCTCAGACACTGGTGAAAAAAGATTTGTGAGCAGAATCACTCTTTACATGTATCGTGCAGCAGAGCTTGTGCAGCACTTCCTGCCTCCTCTGGTGTGCAGAGGGAAGACTGCCCAGAGCCAGGGTGGGCTGGTGTGGGAGGAAGCAAATGTGGTTGTTAACAATGGGAAAGCTGGAAGGGTATAATTGGAAACATGAGGACTGTGGGTTTTTCCTGTGGAAGTATGAGACACTCATGGTTTTTCTAGCACTGTGGCTGCAGTGAGCCTATGCTGATGGTGCCAAGGGGCTGTTAGGAACACAGGCAAATCTGGACATGGAGGTTTGACACATCTTGGGTTAACTGTAGGAAAGTCCTTGTGCTTGTCTCTTTTACATGGGAAAGACAAAGCTGGGCTGTTGATTGGCACTGTGGAGCTGATGGACATTGGCTTGCTTTTTGAAGAATTTGTCTGCTTCTTAACATGTGCCAGGATGTCCAGTAGGTTGTTTTTAATCTGGAAGTGTGACTTGTACCACCAGGCCATTGAAGCAGCTATTTGCACTGCACTAGACTGTCCTATTCCTTTAATCACTTGAAAGGGCCCAGTAAAAAGAAAGACAAGTACTGTATTGGGAGATGAAGTTTTCTGTCATACTGTTCAGAAACTTGCACTCTAGTATGTGATTATGATGTAAAAAATGTATTTGTAAAAAAAAACCACTAAAAAACCCCAAACCACCAACAAACAAACCAGCATTCAAGGAAAACTGTGTTCAAGGGTTTTGTCTAATTCTCCTGAACAGTAATATCTACTATAAAAAGTAATCATTGAGCTGAAAGGAAGGAGGGGATTTCATAATCTGAAAGTTGACTAGTATTGGCACCAAGGCTGTGGGTTAAACTAACATTTGCCTAGGAAATTTGGATCAGCTGGAGAATTTTCAGGTTCTGAAAGACTGTTTATAAAATAACAATGTTGATGAGTCTTTTACAGTTCACTGTGCAGAACTCATGTCTGTTGGGATTATATTGCCAGAGATGAGCTTGCTTGTGTTAAGTTATTTAAAATGCTCAGAACTGGTTTGCTTTAAGATGAAAAGGGCTATTTTCCATTTTGCTAGAAGGAAGTAGGGCAAAACCATCTTGGTCTTTAAAGTAGTTTCCAATCTCTAAAGTGGGTATGCAGGATATTTTCTTTGTTCTCTGAAGTCCATAATTAATATTTGTATCCCAAGAATTCTCAATCTCTGTGAAAACAAAGACTTTTGAAAGCACATGTGTAATGTTCATGTGCATCCAAAATACTTACGTATATTGGTGCATTTATGTTATATGCAAATGTACGCAGCAATCAGGATGTTACAGGCTCGGCATTACTTGATGGCTGATAACAGAATACAGACCAGCTTTCAAAAGGAAAGAAAGACCTATTGTGCAGACTGTCCTCAGCCCAGAAAGCCACATAAGTGAGTTCCTATGTGGAAAGGGTGTGAACTGCTCTCATGGCTTCAATGCAATTAGTTTAGCAGCTTAAGTTATGCACAGGGTTAATCAGTTTGCTGAAGATAGCCCTAATGTGGTTACTATGGAAAAGTTTGAGCTTTTAACACAGCGACATAAATGTTTGCTTCCAACGGCCCCTGCTTTCAGTGAGGTTACTGTATGTTGCACTTCTCTGTGAAAGTTATCATAGTGACCTGATATTTTTAGTACAGTGTCTTTTTGGACTGACTTGGCTGTATAGCCAGGATTCATTCTGCTGCTTCCAACCTTAGCGCTCTGCAGTTCAGTATGAAATTTCAGTTATTACTTCTGAAACCTGAAAGATTTAGCAATATTGCAGATTTCCGTCTTTCCTAACACTTTGGCCTTCATACCAAGTAATCAGTCACTACACTTTGACAATATATTTTACATTTCATTTTCCAAGCAGTGTTTTATGAGATTAACTCGGATAGGAAGAATAGCTTCACATTTATCATGAGTGACTTGCATGTTCAGTCAAACATTGTGTGATAGAGTAGTTTAAATCTCCAGTGTATGAACTGTAAATTAACATTAAAGGCCTTGCTTAATGTCCATTACTCTGTTTAAACAGTTGTACGGAATTACTAGTTGCCAGTAATTTCTCCTTGAATACAAATATATAATCTGTTCTAATGTTGTTTTAACTCTCTTGATCTGCATGTCATGAAAAGAATATCTTAAAATTAGGAAACAGCAAGGCACTATTCATAATGTAATGGATAATTGCGATTTTTATTGCCATTTAGTAGAAGCTTCAGGTTTGCTTGCAGCTCAAATTACTAATTTTCCTAAAAGCCAATAATACTTTTGTTGCTGAGCATGGTCCCAGAGGATAAATGCCCATCCTGCTGGGACCACTGGTTCAGCCTCTTGATAGCCTTAGCATAAAAATCTGACATGTGAAGTATATGCTCTTCTGTTGGAAGGGATGACTTTCTTTGCTAAGTACAGTAGCCCTTTAAGGCATTCAGGGAGAACAATGTGGAGTGTATTCACTACAGACTTTTTTTAATAAACAGAATTTCAGACCCCACAGCTTTCCATTTATCACATTGCACAAGTGTGAGGAATTTGGACATAGGCACAATAAACAAATCAGTAAAAACTGTCATAGAGTATGCTGCAGGATGCATTTCAGAGCAGAATCTAAGAGCAGAACTGTCGGTTCATGTAGCAGTTGTGGAAAAACAGCTTTGCATCTTCATAATACAGCAGCAGTTTATTGATTTGCACTGTAATCTCAGGACTGGGATCCCTGCTTCTCAAGGAGCTTAGGAAGCCTGGTGACATGCACTTCAATACTTCTGAAGATTGAAATTGGAAACTGGCTACTGAAATGAGGACTGTGCTAGCACCCATTCCTGATAATACCTTCTCACTGTGGTGCCACATATTCCCTCATTGCAGTGTGTCTCTATCTGCTTATCCTGCCTCCTTTTATCTTCGTCTCCCACTGTATGCTGTAGGGTACGTGCTACTAGGCCATAAAACGTTACCTCCCCATCCATTCTCCGTCCCTTCTTGCAACCTGCTGTGCATCTTTTCCCACCTCATGCAGCTAAACAAGGCAAAGCAGGGAGCTGGAAATGCATTAGTTCTTTTCAGAACTTATCATGCCTGAATATTTGTTTTAAACCACATGGGGATTAAGATCCTTTGAAGTTCCTTGATTAACGTTTAGGGGAAAATAAAATACCAGTTTAAGCTTCTGATCTTTTGTGACAGCATATAGAACTCCAGTGTTCAAATTTATGCTTAAAACAGCTGTTCTAGAATCACACTTAACCAGAAATTAATTAGCCTGCAAAAGAATGACTAAAACTTGATTATATTTAAGTTTGTATTTCAGCTTCCATCTGTGGTGAAATCAAGACCTATTCAGCATTATAATCGTTCATGGAGATGGCTTGATTTTTTTTTTATTCTTAGAGGACAAATTTCTTGCTTGCTCATTGTCTTTGTATATTAAGAATGACCTTATTTAAAAACTCCTCATGGTTTAACTTTCTTAGTAGGAACATTATCAAGCACAGTTAGTTGAAACTTCTGCAGTTGAAAGAAGGCACGTGCTCTAACAACAAAAGCCTGGCTCTATCCATGTATTTGTACTGCTTAGCTGATATGTGCAAAAGCTGATCTGTGCTAATGCTTGATAATAGTGTATGGCAGCTAGCTGTATGTATGGTTGACCAGTTGTTGATCCAGTTACTGCATTTATGCAAGCACGATGAATACTTTCATACCTAAAGTCTCCTTTTTTTTTAATATCTAACCACCACTGTCAAAACTAGTGTGATATTGAGTGCCCAGCTAGAGGGAGATGAACAAATTATCCTTGGAGCAGTCAGTCTTAAGATATAGCTGTTTTGCAGAAATGCTTGATTAGAAACAACTCTATTTTGAACAATAAAGAAAATGAAACAGTTGACCTCTTAAATCAGAGCATACATTTAGACCAGTCTTGCAAAACAAGAAAACTTTTCCCAGCAGGTAAGCTTTGTGCTGCAAAGCTGTAATGACAAATGCCTTGTGGAATAACTGCTCTTTAAATAGTGGACATGCCCACCCAGTGCAGCAATAAACGGGGGTCTGTGCTGATTTCATAGAGTTCAATGTCTCCTACTATCAGTGTTCAGTTTGTGGCAACCTGGTGCAACCCTATATGGACTAGGCTATAAGGTACATTTAGAAAACAAATGTTGTGCTGGTTGTCAGGAAAAGTCTGTACTGTGAGAATGAAGGAACTTGATCTATCAAGACTGAGGTGCTGCAATGCATATTTTAAATATTTTTAGATCACATACTTATTGGACAGAGAATCTTCTGCTTCTTCCTTATAGATGTAATAGCTACTGCAGTAGTAGTACCTGTGGATGTGTTCAGGACCAGCTGTATAGAAAGTGCTGTCATGTAAGCATGAATATGTTGGGAAGCAATTTCTCTCCATTCCAGCTGACTAAAGAATATAAGCAATATTCAAAGGCCTGTGTACATGTGAAAGGCATGGTATAGTCAGTTGCTGAGACAACACATGACTGTAATGGCTTAACGGTGAGCTGGCAGTACCCTACATCTCTTTATTAAAAACTGCTGCAGTCAGAAAACCTGCATATTGTTGTAGGTATATGGATGATGCTAAACTCTTTCTTGGGGGGAGCAGGCATTTAGTTGGTAAAATCTAAATTTTCTTTGATTTTTGTGTTTGGTATAATTTCTAGCCTCTCATTCACATAATAGTATCTTTTATTTCTTTGTTTTAGTCTTACTTCTTGTGATTAACATTATACTGTTCATGCCAATGAATTCATCTGGGGTTGACCTGCAGTGTGTTCAAGCTGGAGTTTATACCCTCCTAATCCTAGGTCTCCTTCGTGAATATCTTCCTTGCCTGTAGTCTGGGTGGAGCCTGTTCTGTCCGGTGCTGGCACTGGTATGTGAGCAGATGATTCATAGTTTTCAGTTAATTCATCGTTATTTATGATATGATCTGTGTCATCATCCTTCAGCTGATCCTGTATTCAAACAAAGAAGATCATCAGTGGAAGGGAGACTCTTGAGGAAGATTTTTCTTAAAGCTTAAATGAAAAACAAGTCAGATGGAATTCCACTTTCATTTCATTATTTGCTTTTTTCAGGTGTTAATTTACCATCTTAATGTTGATTAAAGCACATAGTTGCTTACCATGTTCTGCTCTTGAGCTGTGTTGAGAAACATGACCTACCCTTCAGATCTTTAAGATAATTTCAGTGCCTAAATATCACTGATGGGTAGCCAATACTTTCAGTATCTGGCTGAATTATTTAAAACATGCCACTTATTTGAAGCTTACAGTATTAGCAGCCGTTCTTGAAAATGTAGTACTGCACCTTCTGAGACCTCTTTTCCACAACCCTGAAGAAATGTATATAATTCTTTAGCCTTAAAAGTAATAAGCTTTGGAAAAGGGACTTTACCAAAGCGTTTCATTGAGTATGACAGGTTTTGGATAACATCTTAAATACAATTAAGCAACCTAGGTACTTACGCCGTATGCACTGGGGCTGGTCAGAAGCCTGGCAACAGGATTACACCACTCGGGTAATGTTGTTGTGAGAGGTGGACCGGTGTGGGTTAAGATAGGTTTTAGGTATCTGAAGTTTGTTAAAGAATATTTCGCATACAGATGTTGATACTAACATGCTTTTCAATTACACAGGGAAATTTCGTTTTAAAGCATAAGGGAATCATCAAACTGAATGGAAACACAGAAAATGCCATCTCTTTACCCGTTACTGAATACGTTCGCCTGTCATCAGTAATGTCTAATGTCTTTCAGTAACAACAAAAACAAACCCCAAACCAGAAATACCTCCTGAAAAACAAAACCCAGATCACTTGATGTTCAAAATCTATCTTGAAGGGTACCAGAATGGCTGAAGAGGATGTATTGTGGGGTACATAAATGCAGTAGGAGCTGGAAGAGAGGAAATGTGTACTAGATTATCCTGTTTAGTATTCTTATCTACTGTTTGCTGTAAGTGCGATCTCTTATGCAATTTTAACAGGAAACAATTTAAAGTGCAACTGCATCAGCTACTTTAAGAACAGTCGTGAATGCTTTCTTAAACACATACTCAGCCTTTTGTAAAATCAGTGCATTTCTTCAATAGGCAAAGTATATTTCATCAAATATTAAGTTTCTTTATCACCAGGAGTTTAGGTAAGCTGTTATCTGTAATACTTTCAACATTCAATGTGTTTGTCTTACACTTCATACATCAATACTCCTTTATATAAAATTATGTAAATAAGTTAGGAACAGGCTTTATGCTATTGTCTCGCACCTGTCTTTCCAATCTTTTCATCCAAAAGTGCTTTACTGAAATAAAAGAAAAACCTGCTCATCTTGAGCAATTATATCATCCTTGTTTCTGTCAATAACAGCTCTCCCATGAGTCCCTCAAGTTGACTTCTCTTCTCTGCTACTTTTACTCGCAAAGTAATTTTCAGTGTTCTTTGGGAAGCAGATCTGTCAGCTATTTTTGCTGCTAGGGAAAATTTGCTTTATTGATTGTCATCCCACTTTCTCCTCCTTGTGCCTTTCTCTTGATTTCTTACTTGTGCTCTCTCCCTCACTCTTTCTCTCTGCCTCCTTAAAAGAAGAAAGGAACAAATGTAAAATCGAGTAGTTATTTGAGCTCTGCAGCAATATTGTAGAAATTCTGAGTAAATAACAGTGGTTCTTAAGCAGGCACAGGAATGGTTGGGTTTTTCTTTCATTATTGGTTATGTTATCACTGGTTTATGCACAAAGTATGAATTCTATATCCTGAAGAAACTTATGTAAAACATCCTTATCTTGGTTACAGATTGAAAGGCTAAATAACTTGCTCTGCTGTCCTCTATACTACAGCCGTGGAAGTTGTTCTATAGTATCTGGGTTTTATGTGTGTGTGTATTTTAAAAATTAAATCACATCTGTCAGATTGTGTCATTCTTTCATCTAAGGCCATATACTCAGTGTGAAAAATTAATTGAGTCTTATATTAAAATGTTTTTTGAAGAAATTCTTATCAGAACCATGATCAAGGTGGGAATCTTATGAGATCAAATTGTGTAGGG